TCCCTAGATTCGGGATAAATCCCTAGATCTGGCAGCCTTGCTCAGGGTACGCGTTGACGAGACATAAAAACAGAAAGTCGGTGAAAAGTCAGTCAGAGGGAAGTAGGTACGATGCCATAAAAAGTACCTACAGAAAAGACGAGGAAACCACCCAGAGAAGTCCAGGATGCCGAGAGGATAACAAACCAGAAGAAGATGGTGCAAAAGCGGAACATCAGGAAGAAAGAAGGCTGAAATTTTTTAAGTTGACATGTATATATTATTAGGCAATAAATGTTTTTATTTTTATTTTATTTTTATTTTTTATAGTCAGTCAGTCAGCGCAGGGGGACCTAGGTGCTATCGCTCAGGAGCCACGGTGTGTTCAGCTCAATTATCGTGATATCGTGTCCGACGGAAGGTAGAGAGTCGAAAATACGAAATTTTTCGCCTCTCTTAGTACCGCCATAACGTACAGTGCATTCCAGCGTTCATCCAGACTGTTCCTGAGTTCCAGTTTGGACTACAAGGCGTATTCGTTAGCTAGGGCCTAAGTACGCTAAGGTAATGAACAATATGTACTAACCGTTTGGGGAAACAATTAATAGTAGGTTGTCCGCCTTTTAACTCCCTTAGTAAAATCTCTTCTCGTCTCCCTTCGCAAAATTTGATAACCAATACTAGTTTTCTTGTACATCTTGTGTAGTACTTGTAAATTTACGATTTGTTAAATACATAGTAAGTTGAAAGTGGCTTATTTTTTTTACCGTTAGATAGAGACTAGAGAGAACCCATTTTTGCTTTGTACATGTTCCCGGCTTCTAACGCAAGCCAATAATCTCTGACTTTTTACAGGGCCTGCATCGGAGTATCCTTCAGCCCCTATCCTGTTTTTTTCCTACCCTCTTGTAAATCCGCGAGGGGCGAAATCACGACCAATTCGAACTAGTGGACCAGTAGGCCTCAAATCCGCTCGCAGGTAAATCCATTAACCATATAGGACGAGTTTATTACAGTGGTTTATTTTGGTGGTTTTATTCTTTTGGGAGTGACCTCCTCTATTACAGGCATTACGATAAGGTAAAACATAACCGACTTATAGAAGTACTCAAAAACAAGAATCTGGATGTGAGGGATGTAACACTGATATCAAATTTGCACTACAACCAACGATCAAATGTGAAAATTGGAAGAGAAGTGTCAGAAGAAGAGGAGATAAGGAGAAGGGTCAGGCAAGGTTGCATACTATCGCCGTTATTGTTTATTGCTTATTCTGAAGAAATCGTACAAGAAGCTTTGGTAAACGAGACAGTCGACATAAAAGTGAACGGAAGTTTAATTAACAAAATTAGGTATGCCGACTATACAGTCATAATAGCCGACAACTTGGAAGACTTAGAACAGGGGTGCTCAAACTTGAACTGCTGGCGATCTACCTCAATATTTTTAGACTACTTACGATCGACTCTGAGAGACTGCAAGTGTGTGTGATGCAGGGTTGTCGAACATACACGATACACCCTACCTACCTAGGTAGGGCGTACCGTAGCATACATAGATATTAGCTTTCTGCACAATATAGGATACATTATTTTAGTCAAGGTTTGGGTTAGGTTTAGTTAGGTTCTTCTCTACAATATCAATGAAAAAACTCATAGTTATTCAAAATTGCGAGTTTATTTGTTGTTACAAAACAAAAGAGTTACATATGGTGTTAAACTTAATCAAGGAGTGGCTTTGGATGTTGAAGCGTGGCACTGCATGTCCTCAGCATACTTTTCATAAGATGGTACGTAACCACTGAGTGCTAATCGCAAGCATAATGTCATATGATCGATTGCGATATTTTGACTATTTCTTCATTTCAGAAAATGCAGACTCGCACAAGTAAGTTGACCCAAAAAAATGCCGTCAGTTGAAGGGCGATTTGCCTTACATTCGGATATTTATCTTCAGATATAAAACGCCAGAAATTTGTATCAAATACTGTAGCTTTGAGATGTATATCTGATATAATCTGCACCAACTCATTTTCAACAGAACATGAGTTCATATTAAACTGACTTGCTATTTCAGTAGCTAATTCCTCAATGTTTTTACATGAAAAAGGATAACTCATAAATGATGCTATATTTTCCAATTTACTGCAATCATAAAAATGCATTTCGAATTGTCCCAAAATATTTGATAATTCAGCCTCATACGTATCATAATTCAACTGAGGAATCCTTGCTTTCAAAGACGGAAAATGTTTCAGATCCTTTCTTTTCAGTTGATCTATCATAAGTTGCAATTTACTTTTGAATGCGTTTACTGCGCTAATCATCTCAATAATAGTTTTTCCTTTAACTTGAAGCTCCAAGTTAACGGTGTTTAAGTGCATTGTGATGCCAGTCAAAAATGCCAAATCATTTAGCCATTTTTCGTTTTTCAAAATCTGAGTGTCATCACCTCTTTCGTCTAGAAAAGCTGTTATTTCGGGCAATCATTCTTGAAACCTTTCTAGGAATTTTCCGCGACTCAACCACCTGACGTCCGTGTGAAGAACTAAATCAGTGTGTTCAGCTGACTCCCTATCTTCCAACTGCAACTGAAAGAGCCGCCGTTGCAAGCTACGTGCACGGATGGAATTCACAATTTTTGTTGCAATGCCCATAATTTCCTCCGTGTTTAAAACTTTTGAACACAAAACTTGTTGATGTATAATGCAATGGAATGAAAAAAATGAAGGGTATTCTTCATTAGTTCGACACAATGCCACAAAACCGTTTTTGTTTCCAGTCATTGCTGGTGCTCCATCGGTTTTAATGCACATTAATTTATATATTGGTAGCTCGTAGTTTTTTACAAAATTTAAGAAAACGTCATATATATCTTCGCCACGGGTCTTCCCCTTCAGAGGAATGATTGTCAAAAATTCTTCCTTAGCCAACATGTCATTGAATACCATCCGAATAAAAATGCACAGCTGGCCAATGTCTGTCATATCGATGGATTCGTCGAACTGTAAAGAAAAGTATGTACATTCCATGATATCATGTTTTAGTTTATCTGCGATGTCTTGACTCATGACTTCAATACGCCTTGTGACAGTCGGACGAGAAAACTGAAGTTCTCTAATAGCAGACATGATTTCTGTTTTATTTTTAAAATCTCCAAATAAAGTCTCAGCCGCTTCAATAAATGCTTCCTTCACCACCGATCCATCTTCAAATGGTTTCTTGTGTTTCGCCAAAATATGAGATATTTTAAATGACGCGATCGTAGCAGCTTTTGATTGTTTGGCTGGTCTTGTGAACATGGATTGTTCTTTTTTCAAACAAGATATCAAATCACTTACTTTTCGTTTTCTTAATTCACTCTGTGGCGGAAAATCCTTTTCATAGTTTTTATGAACCGTTTTATGATGCCTCTCTAAGTTACCACGCTTAGGTATTGCAACTGACGCACGACAAATAACACAAATGCACTTATCGTTCACCATAGAAAAGAAAAATTCTTCCTCCCAATCCTTATTAAAATGATACGTTTTAGATTTCTTCACTGCACTCATTTTCCACTATTTAATAATAAACTTTGTATCGACGTAGGATCGCTACCAAGTTACAATTCAGAATAACTCCAATTCCTGCAGGCGCAACATTTACATCGGCGTGAACGAAAGTCTCGAATGTTCCCATCAAACGCGCCGCCCGAAACTAGACTGTACTGTCTCTCGTCTAGAAACAACACGGCTTTTCTTTGACAAGTGCCGCGCGTTCCTTTGATAAAGCCACCTTTTGGCGCAAGCAGTGTTATTTTATTACGTAATACATTTTTGTAGTTGATAGAATATCATCCCAAATTTGATTATTAATTATAATAAATATTGAATTAATAAAATAATTAGTTAATATATGTAAATATAAAATATGCTGTGTGGACAGTATTTTGTTGTCCCCACTTCTTTGAATTGCAATGATGCTTAGTCAAGTATTCTATGTATTTGTATAGTTCAGTATTAATAAAAACGTTTAACTCTGCTGACAGTAGCTTAGTTACCTACCTACTTATTAACATTTTTTTCTTCTCGAGATCTACCCAAAAAGCACTCGCGATCGACCAGTCGATCGCGATCGACCGTTTGAGCACCCCTAGACTATAGTGAAGAATCATAAAAAAATTAATTTATGAAAATTAGCAAAAACAACAATACAAACGAAATATTAACGGTAGGCGGCCAGCAAATTGAGAGAGTAAAAAGATATACTTACTTCTGAACGATAATCACAGAAAATACCGATTATACTGCAGAAATAAGAGAAAATCACTTCGTGAAAATGAAAAAGATTTTGTGCAGCAAAGATCTGACATTGGCCCTCAGAATAAGGCTAATTAAATGCTATATACACAGTGTACTCTACTATGGAGCTGAATCATGGACATTAAACCGGAATACAATAAATCGACTTAACGCGTTTGAAATGTGAGCATGTAGAAGATTGTTAAGGATTCCATGGGTAGATAGAGTCACGAATACAGAAGTGTTAAGGAGAATAGGCGAGAGAGGAAAATGGAAAATACAATAAAAGAAAAGAAATTGCAATATCTCGGACATGTATGGATAAGATCAAGAAAATAAGGTAGAGAGCGTAGAGAAGACGCGTTTCCTGGTTAAAGAACCTGAGAGAGTGGTTTGGTTACAGCTCAAAGCAATTGTTCAGAGCAGCTGCCTCGAAGGTCAGAATAGCCATGATGATTACCAACCTTCGTCGCGGAGATAGCACTTAAAGAACAAGAAGCAAAACAAATTATTAAAAATGTTCTTTCTAAAATCATCGAATAAATAAATAAAAACTACCAGGAAAGACTGCTATTTGAACTAAAACAACACTTATCAATAGTAAAAATTATTGTCAACAAGGAAGCCTAGATATAAGTTTACAAAATGTACTCAGGATAAAGTGTGTCCATCTTACGTCGAAGACTTATTGTCTGATGCGAAAATAGTGTATCAAATGAATAAAACAAAGTAGTCTTACCTGAGAAAGAGAAATGCTCTCCATTAAAGATTTTTGACTAGAATCTACTACTGGTATCTTTGGTGAATTTTGTTGGTCCGAAATGCTTTTTTCAGTCATTGCATCCGCCAATAAATTTTTCAAATATGTTGAAGTACTACTGGTCTCGGTAGCAGTACTGGTATCACTACTACTTTCCATCACATTATCACTGCCCGTTAGTGTTTTATCCGATTGTGAACTTTCATCTGTGGAGATATTCATTTGACTATCAGAATGAGTAAGACTTTGAGTTTCCGCTGGTATATCAATAATGTTTGTTTTCTGTAACATATCGGGCAAATCTTGTTTGATGCTCTGAGGCTGAGTGTCTATCAGAACTGGGGTTAAAGGTAATTGCATAGTACTCCTTCCTGGAGCTCTGGTAATAGCATCGACATGTGGATAATTTTTGTCTAGCACATCATTACTGATCTCATTTAAAGTCTCTTGTAATCCAAAAGTATCTTTAAGCATTTTTTGGGGTTTTAGATGTGGATTAAATGCTGAATCTAACACCGTTGCAGATGTACTCTCAGATACCGACGTATACGACATTGTATCCTCAGCAACACTGTTTTCATCTTGATCTTCAGGAATAACTTCGACACTTTCAGGTGATAACTTTTCAGCAGAACTAGAAAATCAATACATGATGAGTTTTTTAAATGTCAATTTATCGTAAAACATACCTCGATTTTTCATCTTCTGACCAAGGTGATGGTAATGGAGAAACAATTTCATCTGTATAATCCGATTGTCTTCTGCTGTTTGTACTATTTGTGCCAAGTACTTCTAAGGAACTTGGACTTGTAAGACTTTCTCCTAAAACTTCCACAGAATCTGATTTTGGATGGAGGCCTAAAAATGATAAAATATGTGTACACTAAAAACTAAGTTCTGTACTAAGAGAAGAGAAGATTTTGGGAATTCCAAAATCAAATTTTGGAATAAATCAAAAATGATTAAAATATTATCCAATTACAACTTGTCCTCGAAGCTTAAAGACCAGATACCGTTTCTAAATCAGTGTCATCTCATTTATCAACTTTCTTGTCTCGAATATGATGGGCAGTATATAGGACGAACAACGCAGCGGTTAGAACAAAGAATAACGCAGCACAAAAGTGATTTCAAAACGGAGAAAAAGTCTTGGGCAATAGCACATCATTCAACACAACACGCCACACATTTAATTTCTCAGATGTCAAGATCTTGGATATGTACTTACTAGTAATGCTTTGGATAGTGATCAGTGTAGTAGTGTCTGGGGTTCGGGAGATTAAACCTCGGAAGCCCTGAAGAAGAAATCAAAGAGGATGTCGAAAGCTCGGCGCAATGATAATCGATGCGGTTCAACCCGAAAGACTGTTGAGTTTACTATTAATTCTTGTAATAGTATTAGTCTTAGCTCTGGGTTTAATTGTACTAACCGCCGAAATTTTTCTGAACATCTTGAAAGATACTTTATCATTCCCGAACCGATGAAGCAGGGAATATGCGGAAATAACTTTATAAGATCTTAATGATAACGATTCAGACAAAGAATTTTTGACGAATTGTACTATTGCGCCATATATATGGCCTTTAATTCATCATAGCGATAGCAAAGATTTTGCTGAAGTGTTATCTTTACATATTCTTCTTCTGGTTCCTATCCGTTTCGGATGTTGGAAATCATATTGGCAATCATAACCTTGATCGCTGCGGCTCGAAACAGCTCCGTTGAGGTTTTCGTAAACCATGTTCTTAAATTCCGCAGCCATGATATTCTCCTTCTACCGGGTCCTCGCTTACCTTTGACTTTACCTTGCAATATAGACTGTAGCAGGGAGTAACGGTGCTGATTTCTCATAACGTGTCCCAGATATTGCAATTTTATGCGTTTGATCGTAAACACAATCTCTGGTTCCTTCTTCATTTTTTCCTAGAACTTCCTTGTTCGTGATCCTTGCTGTCCATGATATTCTCAGCATTCTTCTATAAAGCCACATCTCAAATGCTTCAAGTTTTTGGTAGTGGTGTCTGTAAGCGTCCATGCCTCCGCCCCGTACGACAACACAGAGAAAACATAGCATCTCAAATGTCTCATTTTTGTATCAAGGGATATGTTGTGACTTTTGAAGATGGCGCTCATTTTGTTAAAGACCGTTCTTGCCTTTCCTATGCGACACTTTATTTCCTGTACATTGCTCCACTGTTCGTTTATAATAGTTCCCAGGTAGCAATACTGTTTTACTCGCTCTATCTGCGTCCCATTAATGTATAGATGAGTCCCGTTTATATTCTCCTAACTGATAATCATTTGTTTCGTTTTGTGGGTATTAATGTTTAGTCTGTACTGTTGACTGTACTCGTTTATTCTGTCCATTAGCCTCTGAAGTCCCTCTAAAGTATATGTTATCACCATGGTGTCGTCGGCATATCTAACATTGTTTACTCTTTCCCCATTTAGAAGGATGCCTTCGTCTATTCCGTAAAGAGCCTCGTTAAAAAATTTCTCTGAGTACATATTAAATATCAACGGCGATAGGATACATCCCTGTCTAACTCCACGTAGTATTTTTATGTGATCTGTTTCTTCTCCGTTAATTTTCATGTATGCGGTCTGATTCCAGTAGAGTTCTGAAATTATTCTGAGTTTTTTGTCATCCAGGTCTGCCTCTTTTAAAATGTTTATCATCTTTTGATGTTTAACTCTGTCAAATGCCTTTTCATAGTCGATCAAGCACGCGTATACGTCGCAGTTAACGTCCCTGCATTTTTGAATCGGTACCTGTACTCCGAAAAGTGCCTCTCTGGTACCCACTGCGTTAATGAAGCCGAACTGTCTGTCTGATATTTGTTCCTCGCACTTCTTATAAATTCTTCCATGGATGACTCTAAGAAACAGTTTCAACATGTGGCTCATTAGGCTGATTGTTCGAACTTTACATACAAGTAGTTCAATTTACGAATTAATAATTTATGAGTACACAAGCACATACCTAAAGCAGAACTTGAAGTGGATATTGATTGACCAGTTGATAACATTTCGGATTCTGGACTTGTTGTACATTCTGTGCTGCATGTAATAATGTCCGCACTCTCTGAGCTGTTTTTACCACTTTCTGCACTTAAAGCAGATAATCTGTTAAGTAGTGAGGCATTTGCGTTCTTCTCCCTCCTTTTAACAGAATTTTGACCACCATCGTTTTCACCTAAAACAATAATATAACTATAACTTTATATAGAAATTATCTTTATTATCATCAGCCACTGCTAACAGACCATGGACCATAGTCTCCCATTAGAGTTAATAAGTACTTAAAACTAAAACTATTTCTTTTAACTAGTTTGCCAGTAAGGGCAAATCATCTGCGTCGGCCATAATTTTCAGGTATTTATTAAAAATAGTTCTTATATTTTCTAACGTATTCGATAATTATTTTGGAACATATCTCGATTTTTTTAGACAATGCTGGTCTGCGAAAAAGTAAAACTTTCTTCTTCTTTTTTGTAACGACCTCATCACCAGCGATCGCTGTCAGCGTACCACCGCTCTGTACACACACTCCCACTACTTTCCATGGTATAAAACAAGAGCCGCCGCACGGGAGTATTAGACATAACACGACAGCTCGTCACCCAAAGTGTTTTATCGAGTACAGCACGCCAAGATGGTGCAAATACTAAAAGAAGCAGGAATTAACAACCAAGATCTGAAAATAATTAGAAATCTTTTAATCTCAGAGTTGAAGGTGAACACACTGACTATGTGAAAATCATGCATGGAGTGAGGCAAGGCTGTATTTTGTCTCCTCTAATCTTCGATCTGTACTCTGAAAGAATATTTATTAAAGCTTTGCACGAAACTGAAAAAGGTATTGTACTAAATGGTTACCGGCTCAACAATACGACAAAAACGACACCATAGTATTTGCGGACAACTTAGAAGACCTACAAGTTCTTATTAACAAAATCACGTATTACAGTCAACAATATGGACTCAATATAAACGTTAAGAAGACAAAGCTTATGATAGTAAGCAAGAAAAGGATAACAGAAAGTCAACTCTACGTCAACCAATCTCCTGTAGAAAGAGGGACGCACTACAACTATCTCGGCACCATAATAAATGAAGAATGGACCAACAACCAGGAGATTAGAGCACGCATCGAAAAAGCTAGATCCACCTTCAATCGGATGGAGGTCTTCTTCAAGAGTCACAATCTCCCTCTTGATACAAAAGTAAGAATGCTGCGATGCTACGTCTTCTCTGTCCTTTTTTATGGTGTTGAATCGTGGACCTTGACCGAAGATATGTGTAAAAAACTGGAAGCATTTGAGATGTGGCTATATCGGAGAATACTTAAGATCCCATGGAAAGACCGAGTCACAAATGAGGAGGTCCTCAGAAGAATAAATAAGAACGGAGAGGTACTGAATACCATTAAATCTCGAAAGTTACAAATCTGCGGACATATTATGCGAAATGAATCCAGATATGCACTCCTTTAAGCCATCCTTCAAGGAAAAAGGGATTTCATCATACACCAGTCAATTTTGACGTAATTGTTGATATAAAAGAATCTGTCCTTAATTATGAAGAGTACTATTTTGACTTTAAAAATGGTGATTATGTTGCTTTAAATTATTATTTAGCAGAAGTTGACTGGAATTTATTATTTCTTAACAAAAGCATTAATGACGTAGTTAAAGATTTTTATGATATTTTATTTTATTTAATCGAATTGTTTATACCATTAAAAAAAAATTAAAACATCTACATATCCCAAATGGTTTACATCAGAGTTAAAACATTTACTTTATGAGAAGAAAAAAGCACATAAAAAATTTAAAATGGCTGGTGGTGATGAGAACTATTGTCTTTTTTCCGATCTCAGGGAACAATGTAAAGAGCTTAGCAAGTATTTACAAAGGCGTCATGTGAATGAAATTGAGGTTAGCATTTTTCATAATTCTAATTCTTTCTGGAAATATATTAATAATAAACGCAAATCTCATATTCTACCATCGAGTATGAGTTATGGTAATGAAAGTAGTGAAAATGGTTCAGATATTGTGAATTTATTTGCTGGGTTCTTTTCGACTGTCTATAATAAAGAAAAAATAAATCAGATTCCTAATTTTAAGTACGAAAATTATGTTAATGCTAATAATTATTTAATTAATGTTAAGGATATTATTGATAAGATACAGAATAATCCGTGGAAACTGACAACGGGTCCAGATGGTATACCAATGTATTTTATTAAAAATGTGTATTCACTCTTGCTAAACCTATTCAGTTATTATTCAATAAGTCCTTAACTTCTTCTACATTACCTGATTTTTGGAAAGTGAGTTTTTTAAAACCCATTTTTAAATCTGGTCAAAATAATAATGTTAAAAATTACAGGGCTGTTTGTTTGCAGTCTTGAACTACCAAAGTTGCTTGATTTTTTTGTTAACCATATGTTAACCTACGATTGTAAAAATTTAATTCTCGGTCAACAACATGGTTTCTATCAAAAGAAATCTACTTGTACAAATCTTATTTTGTATTCAAACTTCATTGTTGATTCTATGGAATCGGGAAACCAAGTTGACTCCATATATGCTGATTTTACCGAAGCATTTGACAGGGTAAATCACGAAATATTAATTGCTAAACTTCGTGGATACGGAATTGGAGATAATTTATTGGGTTGGATCACAAGTTATTTAACAGATCGTTCACTAATAGTAAAATATGGTAATTTTGTTTCTGAAGCGATTAATGTTACTTCGGGTGTACCTCAAGGTTCTCACTTAGGCCCACTTCTATTTAATCTGTTTGCGAATGATATATCATCAGCAATTAATAATAGTGAATTTCTATTGTTTGCTGATGACATAAAGATCTTTAAAGCAATTAAAAATACCTCTGATATGGATGCTCTTCAGTCTGACTTAAATAATGTATCTCGTTGGTGTGACATTAATGCCTTATATTTAAATATAAAAAGTGCTATAAAATTATGTTTTCCAGAAATACTAAACATCAGTTATATAGAACATACATACTTAAGGGATTATCGATTACAGAAGTAAATCAAATTAGAGACCTTGGAATTACATTTGACCAAAGACTAATGTTTGATAGGCATATTGATAATATTACATCGCGGGCTTATAGAATGCTCGGCTTTGTTCAAAGGAACTCCCGAGAATTTTCAATATTTACTTTCAAAATTTTGTATTGTTCTCTAGTTCGGTCCATTTTGGAATATTGTAATATTATTTGGTATCCATATTATAATATGTATATTGATCAGTTGGAACGAGTTCAAAATAAATTCCTAAGAATTTGCAGGTATAAAATGGGTTTTAATAGAACTAACTGTGATTATAACTATATTCTTTGTCAACTTAATATGAAAACTTTAGAAAATAGAGAATCTGAGTGTGAATTGCGTTTTTTGCATAAAATTCTTAATGGTTATGTTGAGTGTCCGGAACTGCTGGAATTAATTGTTTTTAATGTAAATTCTAGAAGAACACGCTCTCCTGACCTGTTTTAGACTAAAGTTTCATCACACTAATTATGGTAAAAGTGAGTCAATCACAAGGATGTTGAGAACTGCCAATAATTTGCAAGATAGTGTTGAATTGTTTAATTTATCCGTGTCCTCGTTCAAGAATAGTTTAAAGAAATTGAGACATTAATGTTATTAATACTTTTTAAAATTGTAATATATGACTACAGTTTATATGTTAATTATATGTGTATATTGTAATTTTTGTAAGGAAAAAGGGTTTATCCCGTTAAATAAACAAACAAACAAAAATATTAGGAAAGCCAGGTCCTGGAAGAAGAAGAACATCTTGGTTAAAGAACCTCAGAATCTGGTTCAATACAACATCTGTGCAGCTTTCCCACGCTGCTGCAGATAAGATAAAAATTGCCATGATGATCGCCAACATTTGTAACCGACGGGCACATCAATATCAATATTACTGTCGAGATACACGAGTTTCTCTACTCTATCCAGTATCTAGTACGGCATCTCCGACATTCATACCGTCATCTTCGATAAAAGATTGTTTGCTGTGATCATATATTTGGTTTTCTTAAAGTTGCGTTTTAATCTATACTTAACACAGGTCTGGTTTATATTAAGTAAAATAAAACAGACCTGTGATCTAGTGAAACTTTAAAGCAACCAAATTTACGCCAAAAGTCTGTTGAATTTTTGCTAAAATGTATGTGTGATGTAATTGAATCTATGACGTGCAACTCTAAGTGTTTTGCTATTATTCTAGCATTATTTATAAGTCATAAACATATTTACCAACCAAATCTTTATTGTTTTATTAATGAAAAACAAAAGTTAAAAACAAAGAAGCATTAATAATAACTGAAAATATGTTTATATCGTTTCAGACAAAAATTTTAAAATGTTTTTAATTATTTCTATATTCAACCTGATTAATTTGGATCACGTATGTTATAAATTAGTAAAAAGTCAGATATAAAAAAAGTGACTAATAACTCACTCACCAACCTCACTCACTCACCTCACTCCTCAACTCTCACTCATAAATGCATATAACTCCATCAATTTTGCTCCGATCACTCTGAAACTGGATGCTCTTGACGAGTTACACTTTCGAATAAAAAAACGCAAAATAAAACCCTACCCCCCTCCTCCATTAAATTGACTGCCGAAGCTACAGGTAAATTAAATATTGTATTTACATGGACACAAACCATTCGAATCTTCATTCTAAGATACCGATACTAATTAAATTATTAATTTAGAATAAAAGTTACCATTTTTTGTCATATATATTTTTTTATTTCAAACCTCCACCTTGAAAAAACTACGTGCACGCTATATAATCAATGATATGTTGTAACTATCATAGTTCCATTATTACACTGGTAATATGACAAATATAATTGCAGTTTCCAATGTAGGTATGGGTTTTACTGCATCCACAGCGAGGGTATGTCTTTTCTTAAGTGGTGTAAACCTAACTTGTCACGATGGGAGTTTCAAATAGTAACCATCGCATGCCATTGACGTAATAATTCCATCTTTTCAGCTATGCTACTATACTGAACTTAAGATGGAAAAATTCATGAATGTTAAGAGATGTACCAAAGTAAAATCGAAAAAAATATTTGCAGCCATTATTTGCGATATAAACAAGACAAAGAAAATTTTCTTGCAATATTAGTGACATTGTATGAATCCTACATCCATCAGTACGATGACATCAAAACACAATGTAAGAAATGAAAAATCGAGGTTCACCACTATTGAAAAAATTCACGATACAACCTTCAGCAGGGAAAGTACTGCTTACCATATTTTGGGATTCTAAAATTTTAATATTACCAGATTTGTTGAAAAAGAGACCACAATTACAGGTCCTATTATTTTAACCACCATTGCAACAACTGTAGTGTTGCCCAAAATCGGTCTTGGTCTTGGTCTTGTTCTTGCGTTTTCGCAAGACCAAGACCGCCTAATTTTAGCAAGACCAAGACTGACCGTGCAAGATTTAAGCAAGACCAAGACTAAGACTGCGAGACTCTTGCGTCTTGCAGTTAGGACTGAGTGTCGTTTTAGCGAGTATAGTAGTTCGGGTATATGCTTAAAGACTCTGAGATGTAACAGAGACAAAAATGTGTAAGAGACAAAAGAATAGTTGGTAATCTCTCTTCCAAGAAATATTACGAAATATTAGAAATTTTTTCACAATACAAGTATTAAATGAGTCAAAAATAAAATTATATAAAATTATAGATGATTATTAATTTTCTTCTATTTGTAACAATGGTTGTGTATAATGTATAAATGGTTTATACTTGAACCAGCTTTGTAAATAAAAGAGAGTTAAAGGTTTGTTAAGTGATATATGATATGATATATTATGATATATGACGATCATGAATATTTAAAATGGATTTATCGTTTTATTTAAATACGCCCTAATTATTTAAAATAAAACTAAAATGTGCGTCCAACTTTACTTTAAATTCTAAATAATGTATGTGAAACATTCCATGTTTTTCAATTATAATAGATTAGTAGATAACAGATAGACAAAAATAGGTACTCAAATTATTCGAACATAAAATTTATTCTCCCATTTTTGTTTTCTACTTCTAGGTAATAATTTAGGAAATGGACATTAAAACATACTCTTGAAAAAGAACCAACATTAATCAATTGTATTATTAATTATATTAATGTTTGCATTAAGTATATATTTTTTTCTAATTTGACCCACATAGCCTGGCTCGGGGTCTGCAATTGTTTATTAAGCATTTTTTATGTGACATTTGTACTTGCATGGAATAAATAAATAAACATTCAATAAGGAAGCACGTTCTAAAGAAACAGTACCGAAATTATCTCTAAATAATTCTTCTTCTTCTTTAAATCTCATGCTATCTTCAAGAAACCAACAATATGATTTGAAATTTATCTATGACCTTTCGAAACTGTATATTGATTTATTTAGACATGTCCCAAATATTCAAATGTGCGATTTTTTGTGGTACCCCAATATCAAAAGACAGTCTATGGTACACACCAAAAGAAACAATCAGTAATCCTTTTAAATACACAATCAATTAGAATAAGTATTGATGCCATTAATTTTATCCTAGAAATCATGATGAATGCTTTGTTCTTTGTTTAACTGATCAGTGGAAAACAGAAGAACAACTGGGGACTACAATGTTATTAATTTTAAACTGATCTCTTCATATTGTAGAAGCAGTTGCGAGGTGGCCAGACACATTAAAAATGTTTTTTAGTTCCTTTGATATTAAACCTTCCATCAAAGAATATAAATGCATACAAGGTAATAAAAAATCCTATATAGATAATATTTTTACAAATCTTGACATATTTGATTCCCTTGTATTCAATCCTCATACATCTGATCATACTGCTCCAAGGTAAAATTTTAATTAAATAAATTGAGTCAAATATAATAAAAAAATGAATATTTAGCAAGGGGAATAAAGATTTTTTTAATTCATGTTAGGTAATGTAGACTGGGTATCTGTTTTTGAGACATTAGAGGTAGACAATCAGTGAGATGCTTTTATAAATATAGTTCAGAAAATTTTTATACAATCTTTTCCACTCAAAAAGATAAATACAGAAAATAAAAAAACACAAAAGTTCTTTAAAAATGATGATATAAAACATTGTAAATCTAGGCATGATGTTTTGTTTGCAATGTCTTGTAATAATGTTGAATATAAAGATATTTACAGGACAAAATGCAAATACAATTCTTTATTCACTCAATCTCGAAAATGTTGTTATAAAGAACGAATTGAAAATAGCAAAAATAAACCTAAAGTGGCTTGGCAATTGGTAAAAGAGATTAAGGGTAATTCCAAAAATCAAGATAATTTCTGTTTAGAGGTGCACCCTGAGGTGCTAATGAAATAAATCAATTTATGGCAAATGCAGCTCCTGAAGGTGTAAAGAAAATAAAGCATGGAAAGCAGGAAATTTCCAAATTAATATCAAACAAAATAATCAATACATGTTTCTAACTTCTGTTTGAGAGAAAGAAATAAGCCACATAATAAATGATTTAAAAAACAAGCACAACTCTGATTATGATGAAATATCAATCAACTTAATTAAATATGTTTCATCAGAGAATTCTCTTCCTCTTTCTTTTGTAGTTAATGCTTCTTTCAGACAAGGTAAATTTCCTCAAAGTTTAAAACTGGCAATTGTCAAGCCACTACATAAAAAAGGTGATGTTACTAAGGAGAACTATAGATCATTAAGCTTTCTTCCATCATTCTCAAAAATATTCGAGAATTTGATATATTCCAGACTACAAAACTTTTTTACTAAAATCAACTTATTTAGTAGTTAGCAGCATGGTTTTCTCACTGGGAGATCTGTTGTGACTGCTACCTACGATTTTATATCAAAATTTTTAGAAAAACTAGAGGCAAAGTTGAAAACATTGGGACCTTTCTAACTATCTTTGGACCTATCTATCTAAAGATTTCGATAACCTAGATCATGTTCTCTTATTACAAAAATTACATTGTTATGGAATACAGGGACCGGCATTAAAATGGATAAAATCATTTCTCACAGATAGGTCACAAAAACTAAGCTTGGAGAAAAAGGGATGTAAGGTTTACTCTGAACCAATCAATTTAAAATTAGGCATACTACAGGGGGCATCTTGGGGCCTTTTCCCTTTTTGGTCTACATAAACGATCTTCCAAATGTGGTGGTTAGTAGTTCCTCAAACCTTGTAAATTTCGCTGATAACTCAAATGTGCTTTTCTGGGAAAAATATTAGAAACACTCCTTACAGTGGCAGAGCAAACTCTAAGCAAGGCTGAACAGTGATTCAGTGGAAATAGGTTGTTGCTTAATACTGGTAAGACAGTTTTTGTTAACTTTAAAACCAGTCAGTCACGAGAACAATTCCTAGATACAACCAATTTTCTGTCACAAAAAACAGAACCTGCTATACAACACAAAAACTGAATAGAGCCTGCTACTCATTAAGAGTGATGAAGAGCTATGTAGAAAATTGGATTTTACTATCAATATATTATGCAAACTTTTATTCTGTTATATATGGAGTAATGTTCTGGAGTTGTACAGTTGATAGCTCAACTGTCTTTATAGTCCAAAAAAGGCAGTCCAGGTGATCTTAGGACTAAATGTGGGAGAATCCTGTAGAGGCCAATTCAAATCACTCAATGTACTCACTTTCTCAGCCATCTATATATTTGAATGTATTATGTTCCTTTATAATACAAGAAGCCTTAATTTGAATTTCCCACTTCACAGATTGTCTCTAAAAGTTGTACTCTACTCTTCTCTAGCATAAAAAATATTTTTCAATATTGAAATCATTGTTTCAGCAAGGGATGAAATATGTAACTATAATATCTTCTTCTTCTTTAAGTGCCAGCTCCTGGTTGGAGGTTCTGAAGAGTTCTATAGAACTGCATTTAAATCAGTCCCTTATTCTTCAACCATAACACTCTCCTTCTTCCTATACTCCTTCCTCCTATCTTTCCCTGTATTATCAGCCTTAGCAGTTCATATCCCTATCTACCTGAGCCAGATATTGTAACTTTCTTATTTTTATTGTGTTTATTATTTCTCACTCTTTGTCCATTTCTCGGTGCTCTTACTCTCAGTTCTAATCTAAAGTATAATATCTACTAACATTATTTTCTCATATTACTGTAATGTTTTCAAATAAAAAGATTTAATTTTAACATTTTACAGAATCTTAGTTGTTCATTAGATATTGTTAACTCTAACTTAGCCAAAACAGACTTGCCAAAACTTATATTCCAAATAATTAACAAAACTATTTTAGTATGAAACACTATGGAAACAGTATAGATATTTCAGGTTTAAGAGAACAAAAACTTTACAAAATATAACAATGTGATGTCACTAATATTTGTAGCAAACAAACTTACCTAAATTAACTTCTATCAAATCACTGCAACTTTCTTGGTCAGATATGCTTTCTCTTTTCTCTTCCTCACTTGTACCAAGTTCAGACATTGCATTATCTAGTTCTTCAACATTTTGTACAACTAGCTTGCTTTGACTAAAAGGTTCTACAGCATCAACAGTGTCATCAAGACTGGTAATAGAAGGTGATTTGTTTCCTTCATTTGCATTTTCAAAAAATGATCCTATAAAAATGGTTACCATAAATTCAATCAAGAATGCTTTTAAAAAATAGTACCATTTGAATATGTGTAAGTGTGAATATGTGAAAATACCAAAATTAAGCATAATGGCCAAGCTATATAGCAAATAATATGTTAAAGTCTATTATTAAATGCTAGATACAATCTAACAAATACTAGTCTTGAGTGAATCCCCATACGAAAAGATAATGTAGGGATCATATAATAGAGGGAAGATATGTAAGTATGTCAAATATAAAAAATCATCCCAGAAGTGCATAGAAAGTAATGTGCTCAAAAAAGCTAAACAGAAAGTGATTATAATCATACATGATGTGGCATCCTTTATATTGAACTGTTTTCTTAACCAAAAGCATTGTTATTATATTATTACAGTACATTCAACGCCCATTTAAAAACAAACCTGTGAACGAACCCCAAATGCTGTTTGAAACTTTTTCCTTGGAACTGGGAGTAGAAATCTGCTGTTTTTCATCTTTGCTTGTACTAGGTTGAGTTATACCCCAATTGCCAAAGAAGTCTTCTATATTTGGATCAATTGGAGTATTTGCAGGAGCAATTGTGGCATCATCTTTAATATCTAAAGCTTTGTCTATAGTCCGCTGCGCCTCTTTAAGAGCGGATTTTGCTATATTTGCTAAACCAGCAGCATCAAACCAACTCATTTTGGATCATATCCTTTAGTAAAAAATTGACAAAAGATGCAATATACATTCTTTGTTTTAATTATGTTTTATATACTTATTGTTCTGTTTAATAACCCACAACAACTTCTTAAATTAATATTTAACTAGAATCATTATCTATGGATAGGTCACTAAATGTGTTGACAAAATTTTGTTGACGTAAACTGACAGGAACTGAATCTGACACTGACATATTTTATTTTTAATAATTCAACCACCGCTGCCAAATTTCCGTTTTGAAAATCAGTAATTGTGAAAAAATATTATTTGTAATATTATTGATTAGACAATCTACCCCCTCGTTATAGAAATGAAAAATTTGGTTTTATATAATCAAAGCAATTTTATGAACATTAATATACTATTTACAATATTATAATAATCTAAACAATCCAGAAAATACAAAACATTAAAAATATGATGGTAAGAATACGTTTTATTTAACCGTTTAAAATACCTTTTATTTAAATTGATTTTATGTACTGTATAATCCCCAGGTTGCATAATGATCGAATTTCACATAAACTCTAGTTGAGTTTTCAAGTCAATTTATGATGTAATACCAGAGTTAATCTGTTCTATAAATTTAGTTGACCTAAAATCCAAAAATAATGGTATAATAATAACTATTGATGAATTGTATCCCTATTCGGTCCTAATTTGTAAATTGGTAAATATCGGTAGATATATGAATAAATTGCAAAGTGCGGCAGCATTCAATTTTTAAACCTCAGCCTTTTAAAAGTTACAATAGACAGATGACAGATGACATTTCAGCAATTTTTTATAAAAAATTTCAAAAAGTTAAAATATTTAACACTTTATTAAAACAATCTTGTATAAAATATTATTTTAAACGTTACTTTTAATATTACGTAATTTTAAATTAAATGTATCCTAAATCACACAAAAAACGTTTTCTTTTTCTATATATTTTATTTAACATGAAACTAATGGATTTAACATTATATATATTACAATGCTTTAGAATTTATTTAGAATATACATTTTATTATCAAACTAAAATAATTTTTGTTTAATTTAATTTTATTGCAAAAGTTACATTTTAGTTTTTGTTCATATAAGGTAATTTGGATCTACAGTTTCAACGCTCCAGTGGCGCAATTGGTTAGCGCACGGTACTTATAAGACAGTAGTCGTGAGCGATGCCGGGGTTGTGAGTTCGAGCCTCACCTGGAGCACATTTTTTTTGTTTTTTAAATCGTTAAATTTAAGACTAAAATGATTAATTAATTTAAAAAAATGAACTAAAAATATATCTATACAAAATTAACACCTCGCAAGATAACTTGAAAAAAATTCATTTTTTTACAAGTAGATATAAAATATTGTTACTGTAGAATATGAATCTAAATTTATTCGAAAATTGTTTTTTGTTAAAAAATTTGTTTAATTTATTAATGTTTGTATTTTGAGAACGATTTCTGAAGTGGAAATTGAAACGTCAATAAACTTATTTTAAACCTCAACTGTGGTTTATTCCAATTAAAATGTTAATTACTGCGGAATAATATCTGAAGGAAAGAAAGTGATATTTAGGTCCTCGACTGATTCTAATCTTCCTTCGTTTTGCAGCGGACTTTCTGTTAAAAAGTTTCGTTCCGAAAATATATCAAATATAAGACCATAACCTTTCACTGCTCTCTCTTCTACACTGTAATAAGTTTTAAGAGCTCCCATTATCGTCTTATCGAGCGGTGTTTTGTGCGCTGTATGGGGAGACAAACAAATAATTGACACAAAATGTTCCTTAGCTTTCAGAATGACATCCAACTTTCTATGAGTATGATGCCTATCTAATACTAGTAGTATAGGAATGTCTTGGTGTGGGGTTACTCCAAGAACACACTTTACCACTGGGTAAACAAGCCCGTCTGGATCCAAACCTCCCAGATAGGTGAAAAGCGTAGAGAGATCTTTTTTACCATTTTTTCCTGGAAAAAATGATCATCGGACTCATTCTATATTTCTAGAAGGTGTTACCAATTCACTTTCTAGGTCTGGTGGTAAATCTGATGTTTTCTGAATAAAATCACCACCTTCCTTGAAACAGAGAAAAAGAGTGTGCTACAACGAACGCCAAAATTCTTGGATGCCGCTAAATAGCCTATTGCTTTGCGCATATTATAGACATTCCAGGTAATTATGTTTTTTAGTTTTAACAAGCTTCTTAGGTGCCATTATAAAGTCTGTAATAAATGTCTACAGTATAGGTATTTCGGAGCTTCGAATAATACTTAATATTGGGCAATAAGGGACTATATTTCTTCTTTTTGTATCGTCTTTCAACGTTTTAAACTGAGGTTAGTCAAGTCTCTGATATTACTTATTCAAGGTTTCGTTATTCTCACCAGCCATTTTATTCCTTGCATAATTCCGTGTAGAGAAAGTATTTATCATTTCAAAGTATGTGGCCTAGGTATAATATTTTTCTTATTGTAACCGTCTTCGGAAGTTTCCTATTGTGTCCAATGCGTTTTAATATCTCTTTATTTTTTATTTTACCCGTCGAAGGAATTTTTAGAATACGTAGGTATATAGAGCCACATGTCATCATCAATGTCGTTACAATTAATGGCGTGTTTGCCGCTTTTATTATTGCATTTCATGTTTCTCGGTTCCTATATGTCACTATTTCCCATTGTACCATTTAAATTTTCTCCAGATTCTCTCTGAGTGCATCTTTCCACCTTTTTTATGCTGTTCTATAATTTCGTACGACTTTAATTTTTTATGTGTTGGGATTTCAATGTTCAAGTTTCTACCCCATATAGCAGCTGCGACCAAACATAACATTCTACTACCATCCAACGTTCTTTAGCTTCTTTGATCATGCATTCTACCAGTTTTTTGCCTACATTAATTACCGCTGACTTCATTTCGTTCCAGCCTCGTTAATATCTTTTTCTGTAACTTGTAGAAATGTTGGTGCAACCAAAATTTATTAGTTGCCTTTAAACTTTATTTCTTTTCCTTTGTTGTCCCAATTTTATTTTCACGTTGGTAAGAAGTAGTTTGTGGTCAGGTCTGCATCGGTGCTAGGGTATGTACTTCTTCCTCAGGTGTTCCCTTTTCAGGGGTCGCTATTTCTTACTCTTCCTCGCCACTTATTTCTATCCGCCAGGTCTTCTTCACCTAAACCTTCCTCTCTGAAGTCCTCTGTCACTTCGTTTTTCCTCCACCTCTCCTTCCATCAACTTACAACAGCTGTACCCTTCGTCCCACATAGTTTTCACCTCTACGTCTGAAATGAACAAACCATTGCAGTCTTTGTTCTTAAATCTTTTTTGAAACTGTCCCTTTTAGTCTTGCCCACCATTCACCATAACATTTCCATTTTAAGTACCCCCATCTTCTCTTCCTGAATCTTCTTTATAGGCCACACTTCATCGCCGCAGGTCTCACCATACTCTTGTACATCTTTCTATTCAACAGTTCCCCTATTTTTCGATCATAAAGTACCCCGTTCATTCGCTTCCAGTTAAACCATCCAGTCTGTATCTTGTGGACAATTTCTCGATCTTGTGTCTACCTTTTCAATGGCCATTATCCAACAGTCCAACTTCTCCTCACATTCTATCATTTTCTTTCGGTTTCTTCTACCTCCTTCATCAACTTACAACAGCTGTACCTTCGTCCCATAGTTTTCATCTCTACGTTGACATGACAACCTTGCGTCTTTTTTGTAATATTGTTTGAAACTGTCCTTTTGGTCTTGCCCACATTCACGTAAATTTCCATTTTAAGTACCCCGTCTTCTCTTCCTGAATCTTCTTTACAGGCCACACTTCATCGCCGCAGGTCTCACCACACTCTTGTACATCTTTCTATTCAACAGTTCCCCTATTTTTCGATCATAAAGTACCCCGTTCATTCGCTTCCAGTTAAACCATCCAGTCTGTATCTTGTGGACAATTTCTCGATCTTGTGTCTACCTTTTCAATGGCCATTATCCAACACTCTAACTTCTCCTCCAACATTTATTTGCCCTCCTCTACTAGCACAATATCATCAATAACTAGCGCTGACCAAGGATCCCCTCACTTACTTTCCCTCTCTCTGTCAGTACATCCATAAGAAGATAAAACAGGTAAGGACACAGTGAAGAGTCTTGATTGAAACCAACCATTACTGGAAACTTTCGGTCAATCCGACAGAAGCCCTTATCTCATACGCTCCTTTATACATATCATTCACGAGCCTTACGCACTTCTCAGGGATCCATTTTTCCCTTATACATCTCCATAGTTTTTTTCTAGGAACTGTGTCATACGCCTTCTTAAGATATATAAATATCAAATGTTTTTTCTTTTCGCCGTATTTCTCCTGTTGTCTTCCTTCCAGGCATAAACCCACACTGTTTTTCTCCTACCGATGTCTCTCTCCTTAACCTTTGGTCTACAGTTCTCTTCCAAATTTCCATTGTGTACGACATTAACTTTATTACTTTATAGTTCTTACAGTCCTTAATGTTTCATTTATCTTTATACAATGATGCCATCACACTCTCTCTCCATGCATTGGGAATACTTTCTTTCTCCAATATCCTACTCATCAGTTGCCACAAAATATATACCCCTTTCTCTCCTAAAGCCTTCCAAACCTCGACAGGTATTTCATCAAGTCCTACTGCCTTACCGATCTTCATCCTATTTAAGGCCTCGACAACTTCATCTCTCGCTATCCCTGATATTAAGTTCTTATTAGGGATCCCGCATAATCTGTCTCTCCTCTAGTGTTCTTCATTTAGCATCTTTCCAAAGTACTCATACCATCTTTGCTTTATTTCAGCATCGGTTCTTAACACTCTTAATCTGCCCCACGTGCGTCAAGTCCTTTGATGACTTGACCTTTTCATCCCCTCGGGTGTTTCCAACTCTCCATACAGCTGTGCAGATGATGTTTCCTTACCAGTAGCTACAGCGCTCTTTGCTACCTTGTATTATATCCTACCCTGTGAGAAAATACCTTTTCCTCTCTTTTAGACCTGTCATACCCCTTTCTTCTCTCTAACATTCTATTGCAACGTTTCCCAAAGTTTTTTGGTCGAGGAGCACTATTCAGAACAGAAATTCTGTGTACCATATTGCACCTGAAACCTATATAGGTACCACAGAGAACGAGAGATATTAGT